GCCTGCTTATGAGTTTCTGCAGGGTACATCTGGTCAAGGCTACCAGAAAGAAGAGTTGATGACTGTCAGCAGACAGGGTGTTTAATATTATTATTATTATGATGTGTATAACTGTAGCCTTAGCCATAATATGTTCTTATGTTCAAGTCACGACATGTACTAGAGGTCGTGAGAATGTTTTTAGCTACACACCACTTAACCAACAGACACACACATTCACACATTGATTTGCTTCATGTTTTGACTACTGTTATGACCAGCTGCAAAGCTGGTAACAGAGACGTCTCGGTTGACATTTCTGTGTAGTATGGGGCTAGCCCAACCGAGGTGTTATAATGTATAGGCCTGCTGTGGTTCAGGGTCTTTCATCTTACATCTGCCTGCGTGCATGTTGGAGGTGCAAGATATCTGAGCGTGTAATGTAAATTTTACCTGTGATTCTTTGAATAAATCAGCACTGTTTTGAAGTTACTGGGACTGCTTCGTCTCTCAGAGTTAGCATGGTAACAAGAACTGGAGCCTACAGTGTCCTGAGATGACTTTTGTTGTGATTTGGCGCTTTACAAATAAAATTTGATTTGATTTGATTTGATACTGTGCTGTTTATTTGTACAGTACCTGTGAGACAAAATTAAAATCAGCGGTGTAACAGATCACTTGGAATAACAGCATGGTGAGCAACATTTAAACGAAGCAGGAAGGTAAAGCAATCTGCACGACTACTGTGCACTCATAAAACTTCAGCCATAAAAAGAAAATGACAGCTAAGGTATTTTAAGTCCAAACACAGTGTTCACCTCTTGACCCAGTTATTCTGACTTTAAATAAAGTAGAGCCTAACCTAAAGCGTTTACTACTTTATGCTGAATCTAGGACACAGATATATTTTACACCAAGTGCCAAAAAGTCCAAAATCATTAATGTTATAATAATTAAATGTTTCACTTAATCTTTTTGTTCCTGAGTTGCATACAAGCCATTTATTTATTTAGCATAATCAAAATCAACAAGTCGGCCAAAGTCGGGGCAGCTGTGGCTCAGGAGGTAGAGTGGGTCGTTTCCTAACCGGAGGATTAGCGGTTCGATTCCCAAAATTACTTTAGCTTTGGCACTACAGAGGCTATCAAGTAAAGAAAGACATTATAGCTCTTGTTGACAAGACATGCTGCTAATAAAAGGGCTTGTACTGTAAAAGTCAGTGTCAGTGGTTGCAGTAGGGAGGGTGAAGGGTTTGAAGGTGAAGGTGGGGAGTGTTTGTTTTACAAAACCCTCTAAAGCTTTAAGGTGATAAGCCAGTGTGGGGGAGCAGACCCACAGCAGGTGCTGGTGTTTTTCACGTCAGGTTTATTCTGATGTAAATTACACTGTAGGTGGAAGTCAACTTCCCAAGATAAGATGAAGATCAAGAAAATAAAGATATGGTTCTCACTCTCTTGGTATTACGTATAGCTCATTCAGACACGGGAGGTTTTCTTCAGTGTGTTAAAATCAGATGTGCGTTCTCTTCAACAGCTTCAATCAGGTGTGTTTCAACAGAAGCCCCAAAATGGTCATGTGAACATTATACTTCATTAGATTTAATGACATTTTCAAATGTGATACATAACATTAACAACATAAACACTGTAATTATTATTTATTATGTGGCCTTGTGATATGTATATGCTGTGCCAAAAACATATTTCACTAATTCTGGTTGTGTGTGACAAAAGGTAAAAATGCAGAATGTCTCCTTAAGGATGCTCGAGTTTAAGTTTGTGCCAAGGTTTGGGGTTGTCATTAAATCTTCAGGTCTTGTCTAACCACTTTTGTGACTGTGTTAGGATTTGATTTCAGGAGTTGCAGTTGTTTTATTTACTGTTAGTATTATTTTGCTTTATAATAATAAAGTTTAGTATGACTGTTTGTGTTTCATTAACAGCACCATGTATCAGTATTAACCTGGCTCTTAT